TTTTGATTTCCTCTTTCAATGTGGACTTACAATTCCGAACTCAATTTCTTGATTAATTGTTGTGACCATGGCTTAGCTCTAACTAGTGTTTGTTAGATTATTTATGTGATAGATTATTATAATAGCACTATAATGAGGAAATTTCCTGGATGCCTTTTGGTGGTGGTCCACGTAAGTTAGCTGTCAGCAGCATGTGCAGTTTTTTCTTGACCTTGTGCATGTGGTCCTGGGTTTTCCGACATTATACTCCTGTTTTCTGTTGCTTTAACAAGTAAAGACCTCTTGCCTTAAATACATTAATACCTGGCTAGATATAAAGGCTTCTGCGCTGGTTCGCTAGAGTTCAGTCCATAAACAAGTTTACGCGGAAATCATCTTTCTAATGGGATTGGATGACTAAAACTTGCTTTCTTTATTTGTAATAATCTTAATAGAATGTGAAAGAGGACCCAGTATGGTCTGTACACTTGATGGACCGTTTCTTAATAGTGTATGGTTATTTCTGGAATGAACATTGAATACTAATGTTCATATCGGCCAACTGTGTGTCATAAGGCTTAGCTTAATAAGATAACTCTGATGTTTGTCAAAGTTGCCTATGCATTCACATTAGGATGTAATGTCAAAAGTTCTGCAGCAATCTTTTTCCAGATATTGCGTTCCACCGTCACCACAGATACAAGGCGAGAAAATCTGAAATCCATGAACTGCGAAAGCATGCTGAATTCTCTTTACAGATGTTCACAAACTTTGCAGGCTGCATAGACAGCTCAAATTATATGGAAGGCAGGTGCCAAGTAATTGTTCTCATGGAGCCCTCTGCCTTTTTTGTTTTTGTTTTTGTTTTGGGGGGGGGGTTAGTTCACGGGATTGCGATTGATTTCAGGCCCAATTAGTTCCCTCACGATAAAGACGTTCCAAGTTGTTTTTTTAAAATTTGATCCTGTTGCAGCAACAAAAAAAAAAGGAAAAATCCCAGAAAAAGCCCTTAGAATATACCAAATCTCAAATTAGGTCCTTAAATTTCGAAAATGAAAGAATGGGTCATTGACCCAATCTGTCATTTATGAAATTCAGGCGAATTGACATTTTTGCCCCTGAGTAAAAGTGAGTAGTTATTCTCTAAACAAATCTAGGTAACGCTTATACTGTTCTAGTGATTACAAGATTCGTTGTAGTTAATAATAAGGTACCTGACAATAATAAAATACTTGACTATGAAAAAATGAGTAGTTATTCTCTACACAAATCTAGGTAATGCTTACATTGTTCTAGTGATTACAGAATTAGTTGTAGTTAATAACAAGACACCTGACTATGAAAAAATGAGTAGTTATTCGCTACACGAATCTAGGTAAGACCTAAACTCTTATAGTGATTCCTTGAATCATTGTAGTGAATGAATAAATGAGGGCAAAATTGTCAATTCGCCTGAATTTCACAAATGACAGATTGGGTCAATGACCCATTCTATCATTTTCGAAATTTAAGGACCCAATCTGGCATTTCCCATATTCTAAGGACCTTTTTTGGGATTTTCCCAAAAAAAAAAGGGTATAATATTTATAAATCATTCATTTTTATGCGGGAGGGCCAACAAAATTTGTCGTCTTTCCATGTTTGTACATGTGAGGTGCATCCGGTAAAAGAAAAAAAGTAGTGATGTTGGGTAACAAAATAATTATCTTTTCTAAATGGGTGATTTAATGAGTAAACATGCCCCTCTCCTAAATCGAGCCTTGGAGCATATTTGAGCGTAAAAATGGCAAACTTCATATAATACAACTCTGGAAATTTATTCTCCTTTCGTAAGTATTTTAGATGACAGATTGAATTTCAAACAAAAGGCAACACAATTTCAGCATCCTTCTTGTTAAATTATTCTCGTCCTTGTTTTCATTTTCTTTTAATTCATAATAAGAGTATTCTCCATCTATAACAGAAAGTAAACTTCTTCAAAATATTGAAAGGTCATTTGATATTGCAACTCCCTTATTTTAGTTCCATCAAAAATACTTTCAAACAAAGTTATATTTTGATTTTGAGTTCTGATCCAAAAGAATTGATTGAAAGTTTAAAGTTTTACTTTATTCTTTTTAAATAGGAGGGAAGCTAGGAACCCCCCCCCCCAAAAAGAAAACAATGATCAGGACAATGAATACATGCATGCTAATAAAATTTAATGATAATATTAATAACATTTTACTTTATATCTTATAAGGCTAATGAAAGAGAATTGTTTTGGTCCCATCATGCATCTGACTGTGGTGGGTGAGTCTTCCAACGGAGATTTCTGCATACGTTGAGGCTCGAACTCGAGATCTCGTTTAAGTGATACCAAGCTGCTTACCACTTGAACCAATCCCTATTGGTAGACACTGTTTGATATTGAATGTGAGTATTTCTCTCTGCGAGACATCGGTCCTGTGGATTATTAGCAATATGTAAATGCATAAAGTATTTCACAATCACAGAGCCCACCGTTACATTTGCATGTGTGATTGCACTATATGGGCTGAAGAAGCGGCAGACATCATGGACAGCCCTATTGGGTTAACTCTGAGTCTGAGATTGTTACTTGGCCCAACTTAGGAAAAACAGAGCCTGGGTCATTACAACTTGTTTTTGAGTTGTCGGAATAATTTTTCTTTTGAGTTGTTGGAAAAGAGTATATATTGGTGGCCAACCGAAAATTTAATTTTTTATTAAGAAAGTCCATATTTAACATTGATAATAAATTAAAGGGAAAATTAATCTTTTAGTCCTTCAACTTTTAATTCACTTATAACTCAGTCCCTCAACTATAATTCGGTGCGACTCAGTCCCTGAACTTTTAACTCGTTTATGACTCAGTTCTTTATCTTTTAATTTTTTATATTATTATCCTTGTAATCTCCAATTGGGATTGAGTCATCCTATGTGGCATAAATGATACAACACCTTGCTTCCAGCTCAGCTCCACGCAACACAAGAAGTCACAACTGAAAAAGACAAGCGATGAATCTGAAATACAGAGGCGTAGATAACACAGCCTTTCACAACGCAACCCACACATGCTATACTGGTGATCGGCACCGGCATCCCTCTCTGCAACATTATGGCCTCACTGATCTTCTTTTGATTTTGAAAATGCCTGGCCTTTTTTTTTTTTTCCCAGGTTCACTTCCTTCACTCCTACTCTCTCCCTTCTTCTTTTTTTATCTCTGAAAATTATTAAATTATCAAGGGTCGATCAGGAGGAAGCTTTGTACACTCTCTCCCCGTTTTCGAAACCAAACATTATCTCCTTTAAAATCTTACTTACCGACTCTCCTTCATTCCTCAACTTAATAGCTTTATCTTATTAAAATCATTTTGAATCATCTTGACACCCGCACAAAAGCTCTGCTATTTCGATATAAAACTCGACTTCATCTCTTGCTTGTTTAAAATGTCTCCTATCCCAATATTACACATCTTTGGTTGTTACACAAGTATATCTCTCGGCTTTGTCTCTGTTTATCCCCTGTTTTGGCCTTTTCTCTGTCTATTCATCCGTCTTCTCGTCTTTTTTGTTGTTGATAAAAGTCGAGTAGCCAACTCTGGTTAGGAACTATCCAGAGTCCAAGTTTATATCCTGCCTATCCTTCGCTATGATTTCCTGCAAGTCCTACGAGGGAGAAGTGATGAAATGGAATTTATCAGGTACATTCAGAGCTTGTTTTGCCAAGAGATCAGCTGCACAATTCGCTGTTCTAGCTATGTGCTTTATCCTCACTCCCAGTCACGAGCAAGGATGGATTTGATCTCCGTAACAAGGTTGAAGTCTTTATGATGCTGGTCAATATCAGACGAGACTAGTATGACCATTTCATACATCAGATTCCGCCATGAGTTGACGTGTGCCTTGTTCCCGAGCCATTTTTAGCCCAAGTAATAGCGTTCACAGCTCTGCTGTAACATTATCTCCTTGTTGATCGTGATGCATGAATGCTGATATGAACTCTCCCTTTGTGTTCCTAAATAAACCTCCACACCCTATCCATCTTCTCTTCTTCTCCTGTTGTTATTTTTTGTGTTACGTGGAGCTGAGTTGGAGGCAAGGTGTTTTACCATTTATGCCACATAGGATGACCTAATCTGAGCTGTAAATTATAAGGATAATAATATAAAAAATTAAAAGATAAGGGACTGAGTTATAAACGAGTCAAAAGTTCAGGGATTGAGTCGTACTGAGTCATAGTTGAGGGACTGAGTTATAAGTGAGTTAAAAGTTGAAGGACCAAAAGATTAATTTTCCCTAAATTAAATAATATTGCTTTTAATAGAAAGATACATATACTTATGAAAAAAGAGAGTGAACAGATTTGATAAAAATCAAAAGCAAAAAATTAAAAAAATATATTTTAGGTAAGAATAAAATTATTTTAAAAATATTTACCTTTTTAACATAAAAAGATACAATTCCGATTTGTTATTTTTCATACATAGTACTCCTCTAGTCCTTAATATAGGACTTAATTATTAAGTTGATTTTGGTCCTAAATATAAGATTTATTTTTCATATTTATCAATTTTTTTCTAAATTACCTTATGGATACTCCCTCAACCATAATTAAGTAGAAGAGGAAGAGTGATATTAAGAAAGATGATTGTGGTATTTTAGGAAAAATGTATTACATTTCTTATAACTAACTAACTTCTTTAATCTAATTAAATTAGTAAAATATGTCTTATATTAAAGATCGGAAGAGTAGCACATTTTTCAAATTAGGCCAAACAAGCAGTTTAAGTAAATACTTAACCGATTGCCCAAAACGTGGGCCGAAAGAAAGAAAAACGAAAAAAAGGAAAAAGAAATTCATATTGTCCTAAACGGAAAGCAAAAGGGCTGCGTTGTGTGGTGACGGACCCTCGAAACGCTGTTAGAGTTGAACGACGATGTCGTTTAGGCTCTGTGGCCTGACTTGGAATGTAATGAATCCGCCAATGGCTCTCCTTTTCCCCTCTCCCTCCCCCTCTCTCTCTCTCTCTCTCTCTCTCTCTCTCTCTCTCATCAGATTGGATGGTAACCCTTTTGGGTTTCGACTTCGAGCCGCTTTCCTATTCCGTTACCTGTAAGTCTTCTGTCTCATTGAGTTTTAACAGTCCTCTCTTTTTTACCCTAAGCTTTAAATTCTTCGCGCTTCTAACTTCTTAGGTCTAATCTGCTTCTAACCGTAGCTCTACTGCAAGTTTCGATCGATCGTGCTTATTTACTTGGTTTGGTTTCTTTTTGATTCTTTGCTAGAACATTCAATCCCGAATCCACACTGCAAAGTTATAATTTCACTATACTGTGGCGTTTGGTTAGTGAAAATTGGGCTTAAATTTATAAACATTACTATTCTTTTTAAATATTTTTCCTAGTCAACTATCATGTAAGTGTTTTTAGTGAAATTTTAGAAGCGAGCGCATTATATGATGTGATCATTGAGGGAGTTTATAGAAGTACTGTCGACTAGAGGAAGGCTTGCTTTAGAATTTGAAGTCAATATTTCCATTGGACCTTTTAATCAACGTCGTGTGACCTCGAGTTCAAGATCTATTTGGTTACGTTTTACGATGGTCACAATAAAATAAATCTTCATACTCCATTGTGTATTTTCCTTTTAGGGGTAGAATATAATTATGCCTTTGCTTCCCTTTTGTATGGTGTTGATGAGAGTTCAGGATCTTAAATTTTCTATATAGCCTTTTGGACACAGTTTGAAGATCAGACATAAAAAATCTGATGTTTCAACTTTCAACCAAAAGCATGTGTAGTTATGTGTGAAATGCTCCCCTCAGCTTGTGAAGGTATTAGTATGTGTATAAGAATACAAACAACTAGAATCAAAGCCTAAGAAAGTTATGACTTTTGTTTCCAACTATTCAAGGACATTTAGAAAAATGTAATGAAATGTTTTAACATCTCTGGTCTTCTGGCTGTGTCTTTCTTATTTGTGGAGGATTATTTTACATAATATCTGGTGTCTGAAGTTGTGTATGTAATGACGTTATTGGGAGGTTCTCTTGTCTCTTTTGGAGTTTATATCTATACTGTTGTGGTCTGCTCTACTGGTTGGTTAAAGTCTGGAGTCATGATCAATGGTGGCAGTCTTTAGATTGTCAAGAGACATTTACTCATAGTATGGTGGTGTTGTATGATTTCCCTTTGTTGTGGACAGCAGTGATTATCAATATGAGGACTGAATGGCTGATAAATCTGTTTCATCATGGTGGATTGGTCTTGCAGGGAACTTCTTATTTTTTCTTCTCCATTGCCTTGAAGTTGGTCATTAGAGGAGTGATGTTTTTAGCTTCTGGTAGTGGGTTTTATCAGAAGGAAAAGAAAAGGAAAACTCTCAATATTTTGTTAAATTCTTCCCTCTAATATGCTCTTTTTGGTCCAGGATGTGTATTACATTTGGAAGGGAAATAAAGTTCTTTAGTGCGTTATGTATTAAAAGATGGTGTGCATATTTATTTCTATGTGAAAGGGTTTGGAGGATATTCGGTGGTGGAAGGTAGCCTTTTGGGGAATAATCCAAGCATGGATTTAATAAAATATGCTATATCAACGCAAGCTGAATCGGACCTTCTTTTTGTTTCAAATGTTCAATAAAATATATTTAGATTTGGTATGTCTTGCCGGTTAGGTAGTTAGTTAACTGCTGCATTTACTCTTTCAGCTGTAAATTGTTTAAGTGAACTTTGAAAGCTTTTGACGTCAACTTCATCATTCGTCGCTGGATCTGCTGGTTCAAGATGGATGACGGCTGTCAGCATGAAAATGGCAGGCATAAGGTGGACTATTATAGAGGAGTACACTCCCCGGTGAGTATAATGCATAAATTTAGCAACCCCCCCCCCCCCACCCAAAAAAAAAAGCGCTGCTTTATTTACCTGATTAACCGTATTGGGATGTGCAGTGGAATATGGCTCCTCAACATCAAGCAAAGGAACCAAATGCCTTAGTCATGAATAAGAAAATTATGTCCATCATAGCTGAAAGGGAGGCTGCTATTCGAGAACGAAATGCAGCTTTATCTGAAAAGAATGAAGCCTTGGCTGCTCGAGATGAGGCCCTTCGGCAGAGGGATGAAGCACTTGTTCAGAGGGATAGTGCCATAATGGAACGAGATAATGCCCTTGCTGCCCTTCAAATCCGGGACAACGCTGTCAACTTCCAATTGGGTAGTGGAATTCAACGCGGATCGAAGCGAATGCACCATTCCTCTAACCATCTTGTTGAAATGGCAGAAGCCGCATACAGCACAAAGGATACCACCATAACTGAGGCCTTCCCGGTGACAGTAATAAATTCTGAAGCTGTTAAATCTCATCAGGCAAAGAGAAAAAAGGAAGACAAGGCAATTTCTTCTAAGGCTTTGAAGAGCAAAGGAAAGAAAATGGGTGAGGATTTAAATAGGTCAGCTTCTTCTGAAGGAACTAAGATTAAATCTGAGTGGGATAGACAGGATGTTGGCTTGAATTTGGTTACATTTGATGAGACTACCATGCCAGCCCCAGTTTGCACATGCACTGGAGTACCACGGCAGTGCTACAAATGGGGAAATGGCGGGTGGCAGTCATCCTGTTGTACTACCTCCTTGTCAATGTATCCATTGCCACAGCTTCCAAACAAGCGCCATTCTCGAATTGGTGGAAGAAAAATGAGTGGAAGCGTCTTTACAAGACTGCTCAGTAGGGTAGCAGCAGAAGGCCAAGATTTATCTATACCATTGGATCTCAAGGACTACTGGGCCAGGCATGGAACAAATCGCTACATCACAATCAAGTAGCTTGCATGCACGCATGTGGCTTTAGTTGGCCACCTCTGACTGGACTTTATGTCAGCTCATGCGTCGTGATGGTCCAAGCATGATATGCTAAAATTTTGTTGAGGGAAGGGATTTTTTGATGGAAGGCTGGTGCCAAGTTCTAATTTATGAATGGGATAGATATGAAGTATCTTTGTACATGTGCAGTTTAAGATGTCAAGACCAAGGAGGGCTGCTGGTTTGCGGTCTTACCTGTCCAGTATGAATGTGAATCCCTTGTTAGACATTCTCTACCCCCTCTAGAAATCTATACTCTCGCTAGTCCCCTATACAGGCCACCTTTTGGAAGGTATTTTTGGTCCCTTTCATTAGTCTTGGAGCGTTAAATAATTTTTTTTCTCCATTTATGGTAGTAAAAGGGTAGAAATGAATGTTGATGGGGTTTGGTGTAAATAATAAGAGTAATATTAGAAATTTATTCTAATTTTATAACAACTTTAGTGAATTTAACTACCCCTCCATTTCAAATTATAAGATGTTTTCAACTAATTTAAAAAGTCAAATAAAAGTAATCAAACGTGGTTTGATATCTTGATTTTCAAAACAAGGTAACAATATAGTTGTCTCTTTCAAGCTAAAACATAAAAGCTAGTTGAAAAATTGATTTTAGTTATAAATGGAAGTTATTGATCCATTTTATCTTGTATTTATCATTTTGAAGTAGAGAGGGTATTCTTCTTTATTAATGTGAATCAGTTAAAAGTGACTTATATTTAGAATTCGATATTTATTTCATAAAAGGGAAATTTTAATTTGTGAATTTTGTTAGTTTCATATGATTTTTTAATCAAATCTTTGCAGTTTCAGTTTTCTTAATTATAAACATCAATCTCTATGCCCATAATCAGTTAATTATATCAAGTGGGAACCACGTCATTTGCTATTAGCATTGTTTCTTTTTTTTGGTAAAAATTTTGTTACAGTGTATCCACCGGGGCGGTCCCCCAATGACTAATCACCTGGGTACTGCAGAAGCCCAAGAAGAGGGCAACCCTCCCAGGCATGCTTGTTTCATTCCCATCCTCTAGCGGGATCAAACCCAGAGGCGATGGTTAAGGGACACAAAGCCTCATCCATCTGTGCCAGCGTGTGCTGTAGCATTGTTTCTTTTTATTTTGTAGTCTATACCAGTCCACCGTCACCGGGCCACACCCACATGGTTAGCATTGTTGTCTTACAAATTGACAAATTATTAGTATAAGCTACGATATTTTAATTAAGAAAATTATAAAGACCCAATAACCAAATGTTATAACGATTTAATAAAAAATATGATGAAATTATAGAGAGTAATGTAATTTTTTTTTCTTACAAAATATAATTAAGGGACCAGGGTCAATGCTAGGTTGTATGAGAATATAATTTTAAAGTTGGGAAAATTATTATGATGTGTCTAAAAAATAATCATCGTCCAAACATGAGTTTTCTTGGATCATCTATAATCACAAGGCTCCCATTACGATAGGAATGGATATAAGCTGGATATCATTAGTAAGGCTGAGGGGAAGGAGAGATAATCACTGAGAGAGACGTTTTGATGAAGTGTGAGAACGAAAACATAGGTCATCCTGTATTGCGTACATTCTTAGGCCCCGTTTATATTAGTGTTTAAAATCACTTAAGTTGAAATAAAAACTCATCTCACACACTTATTTTATATTCTGTAAATTATGATTGAAAAACTGTTTATAAACCATTCTAAATAGGCCGAAATAAGTGTGATGTTTGGTATTATATATATACACATATGCATGCATATATAATTTTCAATGGTTTTAAAACTTATTTTGTGTTCGAATATAGTAAATAATATTTATATATCTCAAGCAATATAATAGTGATTTTTCTCCCAAATGTATACTCAACTTCAAAATTAAATAAATCAATTTTCAAGTGCTTAAATGTTTTGAGTATAAGAAGCAAGTGAAACTAGTTTGAATGCTAGCAAGATCGAACCGGCTAGAGAATGTAATTACTCAAATTTACATTGATAGTATAAAATATAAAGGCATAGAGTCATATTCACCATTTAATATTAGTGCAACTCACTGGGTTTTTTGTAAATGTATGGCACCAATCTATTATAAATACGAACTCCAATCTTATTTATAAGCTCCAAATTTAAAGAAGGGTGTAGTCCATTTTATAAATTTTAATTTGAATTTGTCTTAATATTTAATTAATTTTTTTTTTCAATTTTGCCATTCATTATTTATTTTCACTTCTTTACCACATTCTTTCTCATTATGTTTTCTTATGCATTTTGTTTCATCCTTTTTCCCCCTCATTTATAAGGGTATATTTAAAAATAAAAATATATTTCTTACATATCTATTTCTTTTAACTAATTGCTTGTTATTTGCAAATTAATTATTTAAAGTCTATAATAAGAATCCGAGGGAGCAATAATGAAAGGGTTGAGTGTTATATCACCGTTAACTTTTCAGATTCATTGCACATTTTGGAATTCTGAGAAACTTCCTTTTGACGAATTTCATATCTGAAATGAACGGCGTAACCTTAATCCGAGACAAAGTAAATGAGGTATGAAAAAAATTAAAGTGGATGTCATGACCCTTTTACCTCCCCAAGGAACTCAATCAAGGCTCAATCATTCTTTATTTACATTGGCACATGGGGGCAAAGAGAACAAGCACGAATCTCACGTGCTATTATGGTTTGAAGAAACCATTGTTTATGTATTGCATTATGTAGCCGGTCCCTCTGTTTCAGTATTTCTAGTTTCAAAGTTTTTTGTTTTGGTTGGGGGTATCTTCATTGAGCTTGCGATATTCATTGTGACTTCATTTTCTCAACTGAGAAGAATTCTATTGATGCTCTAAGAAAATATGCTTGCATACGTGAGTGCATAAAAGCCAGATAAATAATATGCATAAAATGACCCTGCAAATATCCTTTTTTATTTGTTCTCCCTAACTTAGACTGACACTTTGAAGGTCATGGAGATAATAAAGCTCCCAGAAACTATACAGCAGTGGGATTCAATCCTCTTAATATACAAATCTAAGGATCTCCATTGTATAAATCAGATACTTCAGATAGAATAAGACACCAAAAATGAGAGCAAGAAGGAGGAAAAATGAATCAACAAACCGCCGCTTGAAGGCTCGCATTCTAGGATGCCAAAAGCTACAGAAATTGATTATTTGCTCCGAAATAATAAGTTCACTGATGGGCCTATTGATGATGGCTTGAAGGCTCGCATAAATTTCCATGATGACGCCATCTGGGAGTCTGCTTTACTAGTTTTCCTCCCTCCGTGAGGTCTTGCAGCAGCATGATTTCTAACAGGTCCTGATACTTTTAAATTAAATATTGCTGAGCCAAAGGAAGCATCAGTGCCACCAAAGGAAACAGGCGCTTTACGGGATGAATCTAATGGATATCCAACAGCTCCATCCTGATGTGGAGGTGGAAATTTCTCACTCTTGCTTTTTGCATTTGCATGGGTCACAGCTCTCCACTTCTGAAAATTGAGAAACACGAAATCTTGCTTAATGGGGCATACAGATCCAATAAGAACCGTCTGATTAAATAGTTTCCCTGCGTCAAGGAAATGTTCACGTAGTCCAAGCATATAAAGTAAATAGGAAAGGCGGACGTCAGCCATAAAAGAATACAATGGCTTGAACTAGGAGTTGAAGAAACAGGTAGTCAAAACTGTATATCATCTTAACTAGTAATCTGAGGTCAATAAGGGGGAAGTAGACAAACATAATAATGACAAGAGTAATTCACGTACATCTATGTTTGTTTGCAATTCTGCGTTGGCATCTGGAGCTGGAATGGCCCGACCACGATCACGTGTTTTGACTTTTCGAGCACCATCAACAGCGTTAGCTTTCCCACTTTGAGCTTTTAGCCTGAAAAAAATATAAAATCCATTACCCATCATCCATGAGCACCAAATAAAAATCAGACCGGATGGTATCAAATGTAGAAATGAGAGAACCTTCTTGCTTCTTCATCTCTCAGTTTTACATCCAATTCTTTGCTGGGAGGATACTTCGGTAAACTTGATGGTTCACAAGCATAGGGCTCAGTTGCAAAGAACTGCAGAGAGATAATACATGTGAATAGTTTACATCTCAAATATAACTTTAATGGCAAGATGACAGCTTACTTCACTACAAAGAGCAGCTGAGGCAGTGCCACGATCATCTGGATCCATTGCAAGGAGAGTTTCTATTAGAGGTAAAGAAGAAGGTGGGAAATCTTTGAAGGTTTCTGAAAGGCAACGTTTATAAGGCTGCTGTGGCTTAAAGAGTGTAGCATTTGGCAATCTATACTTCTTCCAATATTCCTCAGATGGAGACCCACATAATTTAAATATTTTGTGCAGTTGCTCAACCTAGCCCAAGAAAAATCAAAAGTCAGTCAAATGTCATCCTGGGATGTACATTTGAGGCACAAAATCCATTATTTTTTTGCAAATAAAATTATTTCTTAGGTGACAACAGACAAGCGAAACTTAATGGCAATTCTCAATCAATAAAAGTTTATTAGTAACGGCAACTATCTAATGCATGGCACCAGTGGGTACAATCTCCCAGCATAAAAGCATACTTAAATAATGTAACATTCAAGGATTGAACTAGGGTTCTGTTGTTGCTTATCATTCTTTTCTTTCTGCCTTTAACCGGGTTTTCTGTCTTTCAGTTAACAGATATTTCCAATCCATCAAGATGACTGTTTAGTGATATGAAAAGTGAACTAATCAAGGCGACACAGCCTAACAAAAGCAGCTTGCCCTGCATATTTTGGTTGGCAAATAAGAGAACTTCGATTATAGAATTGCAAAGCAAAACACTGCTGGCACCGAAGGCATCAATGAGTATCGTAAGCGAGGAACGTAAGCGAGGAACAAAACGACTAAAATTGCTGCAACAAGACTTGAACTTGGTATCTTTAAGCATAAATGAAAAGTTTTTCTGATTAATAGCTCCAAAGTTTAGAAAATAGCCACTAGGAGAACAAAAAAAAAAAAAAAAAGCACGGTGATACCTCTGTTCGGCCAGGCATGATTGGCTTCCCAGCAAGCAGCTCTGCCAAGATGCAGCCAGCACTCCAAAGGTCAACACCGACACCATAGAGTGTAGCCCCAAGAAGAAGCTCAGGAGGCCGGTACCAAAGGGTGACAACTCTACTTGTCATAGGCTGCTTTTTCTCAGGATCATAGAAAGCGGCGAGGCCAAAATCGGCAATTTTAAGGATTCCTTCATTATCAATGAGCAGATTGGAACCCTTGATATCTCGGTGCAAAACACCTCGACTATGGCAATGCTCAAGGCCAGAGAGTAATTGCTTCACATAGCATTTCACCTGCCATAGAAATATACTGAGAAACAAATCAGCCTTTCCGTAAGACATTTCCTCACAGAATTTTTAAATGAATGACTATTCCTTCTAGTTTTATCAATGCGTAAAAGGCATCACTATTTTAAGACAACTCCTGAATGGATTATTAAGTGTATAAAGACATCATGAACCAAATAATGAACTACCAATCTTTAAGCAGTTACATAAAAACCGCAGGCACAGTATAGTCACCCTCCGTATATAAAGTACAATCTTTGTTTCCCTTTTGAATTAGGGATAGATAAAACAAATTGATTCCTGCATAGCAACCAAATAATCTATTAGGTATTCTCAGCATGAGCAAAATACAAAGTGCTCGTTGCATTGGCACAAAAGATGTATCAAGTATTTACCCAAGTAAATATATATATATATTTATTAATAGAGCAAGATACCGAAAATCTCAAAATAAGGTTGGTTTGCCGGAGGCAAGAGAAGTTGAGACAAAACGTGAAAATTTTCATTCTTGTTGATATTCATCTCACTACTATAAAAATAATATGCTTTGTTAAGTGTTGTTCAGTTCCAGATCCCCCCCGCTGGGGGGGGGGGGGATGAGATCAACCACAGGTATATATAATAGTATTGAAAGGGAAAGTGGAAGTTGTTTGTGCACGCATTTAGAAACAAAACAAAATCATAACCTCTAACACATCTCAATGACAACAAAGCTGGAGAATGCATACTGAATTATAGCTAATATATATCGTTGAACTTAACGCCCTGGCCAGCTGCAGAATAAAACTAACAGCGAATACACTCCAATTTTAAAATTGCCGTACCTGAGGCTCGTTAAACTTAACACCTTGGCGAGCTGCAAGCCCTGCGAGATCGTGTTCCATATACTGGAATACTAAGTATAGACTGCATGACATTCTTGAAGTAACTAAACCTTCAAGTTTTAAGACATTGGGGTGATCAAGCCGCCTCAACAGAATAATTTCTCTTGCCATGAACTTCACGCTCTCTGGCTCCATATTATCAAACCTAACTTTCTTTAGTGCCACTATCTTTCCAGTAAGAAGGTCCCTAGCCTTGTATACATTACTATAAGTCCCTTGCCCAATCTGAACAACCAAGACAAACACACTAGCACTGATTCAATAAATCCAAATTGTAGAAAACGAATATGGAGTTAAGTTTCGAAGCATTAAGCACCTTAGCAAGCTTCTCGAACGAGTTGGCGCGACGAGGAGACCAATCTCGTATAGCTTCGCCAGCCACATCCATCAACCACAACGGCCAACCATGTTCGGTTTTAGCGTAGGGATCAAGTCTAAGTTTCCGTCTCTCCAGAGCCGGAACAGTCCCAGAGAAATCGCCGGTACGCCGAGTCCCTTGCTCCTCCATCTCCCTCGCCGCCCCTTCCTTCCTAACCACAACAGCATTACCTCCGTCAGTGACAGAATGTCGCTGGCTAGCGCGAGGACGGTGATCCTGAGTTCCGGAATCCGACCGTCGGCCTTCGCCATCCGCCCGCGTTCCGAGCACGCAACCCATTCGTCAGCAGTGGGTGCTCTCAGAGTAACGAAAACACATCGGAATCGAGAAATGAGAGGCTTTACAATTACAGGCAGGCAGGAGAAGTGACCGGCAATTTCGAGAGAGAGAGAGAGAGTGGCCGGAAATTAGGAGGTATGAGAAGTGAGCGGAGGTGCTGGGGAAGGCAGCGAAGGAGGAGGAAGAAGGGGAAGGAAGAAAAGGGTCAGGAGTTTTGGGGAAAATAACGGAAATGCCACTAGAGGATGTCAGTGAAATGGAGGCTGGAGCGCCAAGTCCAAAACGACAGAGGGTGATGAGGTCAACAGATTTGGAGAGCGGAAAGGGTTGAAGCTGCCATAAACATAATGATAAAAACTCAAAAAAGTAAAGTAAAATGCCTTTCGTCCAAAAGAAGCTGTTCACTTTTTAATTCTCAGTGTTGACTTTCTTACTAGGTACTCCTCTCATCATACCCTTATTTTGAATTTAAATTTCTTTCCTTGTTTTTTCACCCCTTCAATCTGTTTATTTATGATGCCCTCTTCTCATCCATCTTTCAGGATAAAACCCAAATTATCATTTTAAAAATAATTTTATAGTATATAAAGTAAACATATAATAAAAATTATCTCGGTTTGTATAAAAACACTTTTAAAAAATATTTATAGAGACTGTCCAAACACCCCCTTAATGCAATTTAATTCCTATAACCTGTAGTTTTAATCCAATTGTAACATAGTTATTAAATTTTACTCGATATTGCTTAGTTTCTATAATTTAGTCATTTAAAATATCATTCTCTGTATTTTAAAAAATAAAATTATTTGTGAAGTTTAAAGGATTAAAGTTTTAAATACTTAAATGTATAAGAATTGGGTTGTACTGAAGTCAAATTTAAGGATTATCAAAATATAGACTAAAAAATTAGTTTCCTCCGTATTTTATCATCTATTTTCATGGCATAAATTACATTTATTTAGATTTGATATAATATATAATGAGTTATATCATACTACAAATTTTGCTCATTAGAAAATTTTAAGCTACAATTTCCTCTCTAACAGGAAAAAATCAAAAACTTTAAGGCTAGCTTAAGTAACAAAGATGGGGTTGAAGTGCAGTAGGAATGGGAGTTTAGCCTCTTTGATGTTTAAAGAAAATAAATAATACAATGTTCTCATATTCACGTTTTGAAAAAATAAACAATCTATTGAGCTTAAAGCCTTAAACGTTACTAAAGTTTAGTATCAATATTTAAAATTAAACCTAAAATATAACAAGTACGTGTTCAATTAAAACTTTAAACAACAAAGGAAGCGAGAGTATATATTTTATTTTATTTTATGCCATCATGATTTGATGCCAAATGGGGCCTAAATGAAACAGGGTTATTCAATAATGATTCTCAACAAAGGAAGCATATCATGAATCCAAGAGGGGAAGTTCCAAGCATTATGGGGCGGTACAACGTTAATGGTTTTGTGACATAATAGCATGAAAATTAGTTTGTACTTGAAAATTTGTGAGTTAAATCTCATCTATAATTTTATGCCCTTGATGATTGTTTTTTTTTTAAATTAATATTATTATTAATCTTTACAGTTGAATATAAATTTAGTTTTGATTCTTATAGTTTTATAAGGACTTAATTTGAATTTAAGCATATGTCTCAAAACTAAAACTTGCTAAAAGTACAATGAAACTATAGTGATAAAAATTATGAAAGCATAGTGATAAAAACCAACAATTTGAAATTATGGGGAATTCGATTAAATTATAAAAATGATATTAATTTTTTTCAAAGAAAGAGAGTGGTTAAGACAAAGACATGAGACTAATCCAATACAAATGATAAGTGTTTAGGTAAAAAACACAAATTAGTATGCTTCACCCACTATGCCCATCATAGCGAATTATGGGTTCCCACTCATTGACTAAACAGGAATAGGGACTGCAGGGCACCAACTGTAAATTTATTTAAATAGGATAGGGCCAAATTACAAGTACGATTTACCTTGATAGTTGTGAACAAATAGGTATTGACAATTGACGAAAGATCTCACAATTTCTTAACAACTGTTTCTATTTATTATCAGCTTTTTAATTAAATCAAAAGATTGTACCATTTTCGGTTCTAATCATAAAACCTAATTAATTAATTTAAGAAGATTAAAAAATAAGTTAAATTATTTATTTATAATAAATAAATGCTATCTTTTCTAAAATATCCTTACTAATCAACTATATTAGCTAAAACTACCATTATTACAAGGATAATCTTGAAAAAATATATAAATATGAGAAATAAAGTAAATTGAGGTCTTATATTTAGGATTAAAATAAAAATTAAACAATATCTTATATTAAGAACTAGAGGTAGTATTTATGAAGAATCCATGTCTTTTTTTTTTTTTCCTTTGCCAACAAAGAATCCATTTCACTCATGGGGAAAATATTTAAATTTTTACTTCGTATGCTGTCACTCCCCTCGTTCATTGAAGGTGAAAGGTAAATTTATATCATACCCCTTTCAATCCTATACATAAAACATAAATAAGAAAATAAAAAAAACAGTTGGAAGCATTTACTCTTCATAAGTTTGCCGCACAAAGTGTACTTGTTTTTTTTAAAAAATGCCCCACTTAATCTTGACCTTTTACCAAATGTTTAATGGCATTCATAATGATTTTATATTTAATGAAGCGCATGAGGGAAACTTTTCTAATGAATAAAGTAGAAATGAGTAGTTAGTATTCTCTCGTATCCTTATTATAAGTTTCAAATAACTAATTTATAGATAACAAATAACTAGTTAAAATTAGTTAAAAGTAATAAATAGGTTAGAAATATATTTTTATTTCTAAATATACCTTTATAATAAATGGAAAAAAAAGAAGATGAAAGAGAATGTATGAGGAGGAAATGTGATAAAAAAAAGTGTATAATAAAAAAGAGAGAATAAATAATTAAAGGTAAAATTTAAAAAATTAAGTTAAATATTAAGACAAATCCAAATTGAAACTTATAAAATGAACTACACTCCTCCTCAAAACTGAAGCTTATAAATAGGGCCAAGGGAGTATTTATGAAAGCATTTGGATTAATTTAAGTAATGTTATGCTATTGAAGTAACTATACAAAAAAAAAAAAAAAAAGCTGTTTTGTGCAATATAAAAGTGTTTTCTTACCTGATTTTGAGAAGAAAAACTCCATAAAATTATTATCTAGAGGATCAAAGGGGGTAACATGCGTGAAAATAATTAGATTTCAGCCTGGATAACACATAAAAAAGGGCTCTTGGTGGAGTCCATATGTCACCGATCTGAGTGAAAAAGTCCATATGCGACTCTTTGTTATCCAATTTTTCAATGGCCTACTTACTTTTAATTAACAGAAGAATGACATTAGTCAATAGTTATCTTGAAAAGGAGCTTAGGCATAAGATCATTATCACTTTAATTACTAATAATTGTAATTGTCATCTCACTCAAAAATATTCTTCTGGTGGAATGTCCCGTTGCAATGATCACTTTGGCAACTAATAATTGATCCATATTGATCATAAAATGACAGAATTTCTATGACATTGTATTGCAAATTTGTTAAAATCCTTCACAAACCCAATGACTTCAAAGTTTGTTGAATTTTTCTCTGGTTCCTGCTATTCCACGCAGAAGAGAGAATATTTCAAAGCCAAAAGAATTGTCAAATGTAACTACCTATACGGGGTTCCCTACCAAGACTGCCACTTGCGATTATATGGTCTGCTAAAAGAAGAAAATAGAAATAAATAACTGATATATATATATATATATATTTGTAGATTTTTCTCCTTTGTTTATTGTTATAATAATATCATTTCTTCCTTAACAAACGCAGGGATTGATCATTTGATGGTTGAGTTGTTGATAAGGAAAAAGGGAAAAGACAAATTAAAGCGAGCGTAATTAATGTGAGAAGAAACAAAGGGCTTTCTTCATTTTCAATCTAATTAAGAAAAAAGCCACCACCAAGATGTTATTTGCTATTAATAATGAGTCAGTGTTATTCTATCAAACACCGCTTTAGAAGGGTAAAAGTATAATTTTTTTTATTCAAAATATCACTATTAATTGTATATATTAAGAGACTCCCAATTATGAATGGTTTTACTTTTAATACACATAATTAAAAAGACTAATTAAAAAAATAAGACATATTTGATACAAATAAATAATTTAATTAATTTTTTAATATTTTTAAATTAATTATCTAGTTCTTATAATATACTACTGTAATAAAAGGAGATTAAATGAACTAATATGAAAGCGAGGAAGAGCGTGGCAGAATATAATTAGTTGAAAAGAACAAGTAGAAGGAAGACTGATTAGGTAGCGTGATTTGAAAGGAAATAGAATGAGTTAGCATAAATGTCAAAGGGGAATTCAACAAAAGCATAACCCACTGATTGGTAAGCAGAGGGATTGATTTGTTCCTACTTTTTCTTCACTCACATTATTCTGTAAGTCAACACGCTTTGACTTGGTCTGCTTTATTCAATTACTCTTAGACTCCTACTAGTTGCATTGCCTCTTTTTTTAAAAAAAAAAAATTAAATATATCCAGCAGGGAATGCCATTCATACTGAACAACTTCACTGTTTATCCACGCCTCTTTATCTATGTATAATACTTCTTCCAACACTTAAATATAAAAGCTAATTGACTAATTTGAATAGATTAAAAAAATAAATTAAGTTAGTTATTTGTAATAAATAAATATTGTATTTCTTAAAATATAACTACTAATTAAGTGTATTAGCTAGAACTATCATTATTAGAAAAATTATCTTGGGAAAAAATGCTTAAATATAAGAGAAAGTGAATTAGAGTTTTATATTTAAAACCAGAATAAAAGTTAAACAAAGTTTTATATTAAGAAACAAAGGTAATGTAAAATTTAGGTTAATTGTTTGCCTCGCTCTCTCGTCTCCACACAGACAAATAAGTCATAGTATGAATTAAATAATTCATGAATAATATTTTATGCTACTTTAGTTTTTCCTCCTTATTTATTTACTTGTCCTAATTTAGATTTCTATTTTGTTTCTAACTATGTGTTTTCTCCCAAATTTCAAGATATAATTATTACTTGTTTACAATGATATTCCCGTTAGATAGAGCGCGTCGTCGAACGGAGGTACTTAAGTTTTGAAATAGTGTGGTACTCTATTAGATAAAGGATAAAAGTTAAAAGGAAAAATAATTCCTACTAGATTTTGCTTTCTTTTAGTAATTAATAAATATACTGGGAATCTACTTACTCCCTGCACGTTTTTTTTTTCCCAAGTAAAAATATAAGTAATTCTGTTTGAGATACTTTCCAGTACTAAATATGAACACTTTTCACAATAAGAATTTGAACATTAATTTGTCACATTGTAATAGACTAATATCTTCTGCTGTACTCAATTTTTGCTGGTCTTCCTACCTGTTATTTTTTTTGTACGCACATATCTCTTATTAAAAATAATTATATACCAGGTGCTAAATATAACTTTCTTTCATTCCTACCCGGTGTGTTTGGATTAGCGGTGGAGAAGTAACTTTTTTTTCAATTTAACTTTTACAGAAGTCAGATTGGATAAAAGCAACTTCTTTGAGCTTATTGTATAAGTCCGTTTCAGTGACAGAAGTCAGATTGCAAAAATATGATTTCAAACACATCCCAAATCAAAAAAGCTCCTTTTGCCGGTAGAGAAGTCAGTTTGAAGGTTCAGATTGATTCCAAACACACCCATAAATGCTCATCTCTTTCAGTCTTCCAACGTGCTTTCCCTTTTTTGAAAATCTTGGCATCAGCTCTTTTGGGTTGCATCGTCCTGGATCTTTGACTTCAATTGCACGGTCACGTTGGGTTTGTACAGTGGCCCACCTCCATTAACCTGGGTTTGTCATACCAAATCCCAATCCATCATCCAAAGGTACAACTACATAAGACAGCAAATAAGAGTTGATCTAGTGAACAAAAAGTCAGTTTATAAACTGTAAGATTGTGAGTTCTAATTTCGCTGCTAATATGAGAATTTTGTTGGTGAGTGATCTATAAATACCTCTGTAAGTCATCTATAAGCCTGGAGGAATATTCTTATCTTCGTCACCCAATTCACCTCAATTTTTTTACCAAAAAAAAAACAACAAAAACCATAAAATGCCAAAAAACGAGGCCAGCTTTTCACCATTTTTATTAGTAGGGGAAAAAAAGGTAAAAGCAAGCAACAATAAGAAATCGCACGTGTAAAGTCTTGAGAAGAGCCGCCGGTGAATCTGCGTATCCATAAAAGCTGGCCTGTGTCCACCTTGAAATCTTAGGGCTATTACCCAAGTCAACTCAAGATTGACACAGGATAATTTTTGAATTCATTTTAAGTAATTTTATACTGTAAAAAGTAAATACTACCTCTAATTCTAATTATAAGACCCAGTTAACTAATTTGAAGAGATTAATAAACTTAATTAAATTAGTTACTTGTAATGAATATGTGTTGTTTTTCCTAAAATATCATTACTAATCAAATTTGTTATCTAGACCTACTATTGTTAGAAGGATTATTTTGAAAAGAAATACATAAATATGAGAACCAAAATAGATTAGGATCTTATATTTAAGATCAAAATAAAAGTGAAATAAGATTTTATATTAAAGACCGAATATATGAGAACTGAAGAACACCCACATGAAATGTTTTAGATCTCTTTCGCTTTCCATCTGCTTATGTGAAACTCTATTTTTCTCTTGGAGCAAGACAGGCAACTCGTGAGAACAGGCAGAGTCAAACATTTGAGGCAGAATCCGGGGAAGATATAAATGAGTGACGTTTAATGACGCCTTTAACTGCCCACCGGCCACCGCTTCACTTGATATATGCCTTTAACTGCCCACCGGTGCACTCCAGATGTGGCACCCATTACGCAGATTGCAAATTTCAACCAAGTATTACGTGTTATTGTGCCCAAGTCTTATAAATTTCAAATAACTAGTTGACAAATAATAAACAATAAATTAAAATTAATTAAAAATAATAAATAGGTTAAAAATATATTTTTTGTTTTAAAATATATCATTATAATAAATAAAAAATGATACAAAAAGAATGCGTAGAGAAATGTGATAAGAAAAATTATAGCAAAAGAGAGAATAAGTAATTAATGGCAAAATTGAAAAAGTACGTTAAATGTTAAGACAAACACTAAATTAAAACTTATAAAATAAATCATACTCCTTCCTAAATTTAAATCACATTATTATATAAAAACTTGGTTTAGTCCTCTGATTCTGTTTATAAATTATTCCATTTGGTTCTTATTATAAGCTTCAAATAATTAAATTCATATACAACAAACTGTTAGTTAAAATTAGTTATAAGCAATAAATACGTTAAAAATATAATTTTGTTTCTAAATATGCCCTTATAATAAATGGAAAAAAGGATGAAAGAGAATGTATAGAGAAATGTGATTAGAGAGAGAATAAATAATTAAGGGCAAAAGTGAGAAAAATGCAATAAATGTTAAGACGAACTTTAAATTGAAGTTTATAAAATAGACCACATCCTTTTTCAAATTTGATGCTTATAAATTGGATTAAGATTTTATACTTATGAACAAAAAATTTAATTCGTAACTGGCTCTTATATTAATAACTGGAAATAGTACTGATTAATAAGCTTAATAACAAGCCAGGTAGATTTATTCATAATCAATATAATTCACTTATTTGGAATTCAGCAAGGCAGGCAAAGCTACAATCAACAAAAGAAAGATAAACACCCTGGGGACTTTATGAGTGCTCTTAACTCCCCTTAAATTTTATTCAATATAAGAAAAGCATACATGTCCAGTAAATTAGAAGATGATAATTAAGATACAATGATAGTAATAGATTATGATTTAGCATATTTAAAGTGACTCTGCGCAATAGAGAGGCATACTTGAAGAGGCTTAATTAATTAATGAGGTTGGGAGGATTGGAGAGAGTGATTTCGCAAAGAGGTGAAGAAGCGAAGCAAGAGGGAATTGATGAGGGAATCAGGGAAGAGTCGAACGAACATGGCTTGGAGAGAATGCAAGGGATGAGGCTCACACTCCTTCTCGTATCCAAACCATCTCATGCTGCTTCTGCTGTATTCCTCTGCTGTTAGAATCGCCCATGACGCCTCCCTCTTTATCATCTTCGTTGCCACATATAATGGCTCCTATAAATATATATATATATATATATTTATTTATATATATATACACATTCATAACAACAACCATCAACCACATTAATTTAATTATCTCAATAACACTGCCTTAACTTAATTACTACCTTCTTCCACATAATATAGTTACCTGACACTGGATGTCAATTCCCTTCTCTTTGTACTCCAAACTCATGCTTCTTGACATCATCCTTACGTACCTGACAATAAATCCTCATTCCCCTTAACTTTTCGAATATGAATAGTTACTGATAAGAAGAAGCTTTGGTCCTCAATTTAAGTTACTTATAGCATATTTAATGTCTTGTTTTTCAGTTTCATTCTTATTTAATTCTGACTGAAAAGAAAAAAGAAGGGAGAGGTCTGAGAATGATTTGTGTGTGTGTGTGTATATATATATGGAGAGAGAGAGAGAGAACTTCAATAAGAGTAAAAATGAAAATTTTTGTTAATTTAATGCATTTCTTGATATGGCAAAATATATTACAAGTGACTCATATTAAGGATCGGAGTGGTTTTTATTTTGTACATAAGAAAGAATTAAGGTTCCGTTTGGTACGAATCATTAAAAATTAAAGATAAGGACTAAGATTGTAATTGAGAAAAATCATTAAAAAAAATATTTAGGATAAGTAATTGTTTGTTATATGGGATTAGACAAACCCATAAAGGTAGGATTGGGGAATAGCATCTCCCCCTATGGTATTTCCTGATCTCACCTCCACGAGTTTGTCTAATCTCATATAACAAGCAGTTACTCATGATAAATATCTTTTTAATGATTTTTCTCAATTACAATCATTGTCCATATCCTTCATTTTTAATGCTTTGTAGTATTCCTCAATCTTACATACATGGATTTGTCAAATCTTATGTAACAAACAATCTCTCATACTAAACACTCTTTTAATAAATTTTTCAGTTTCAATTTAAATTCTTACATCTCATTTTTAATACTTTGTAGCAAAGGAGCACTAAAATACGCCTTTGATTGTATTAGTGAGCTGTAGACCTGGGTGACAAATTATTACTCTTATTAAATTCCATCACATCCCAACCTCTCCCGTGGACACAACTGACGCAGCTCATTATGTATAAATATAATAATAAATCCCGACACATCATGCTGCCGCTCCACTAATTTGGATACTAACTGATCCTCCCTGTCCTTACCCTATCCTCCGCTCAGAGAATTGAAGTGTTAGGTTTCACAGTTGTGTCAATAATTGTTGTGAGCAACAGGATTAAGAATATGTTTGATGGTAGGAACATGATTAGTGTTGTGAGGTACGTATGATTATGTTTTAATGAACCGATGCATGGCATGAACTGAGTAAATATAGAGGGGAGACTCAGGAATAGGATGATTAAGCAGATAAAGGACGTGCGTGGATAGATAGAGAAAATGGAACTTACTCTTTTGTGGCGGCGTAGACGGCGTTGAGAGGGTAAGAAGGAAAGGCGACGGTGAGGCCGGAGCCGATGTTGATGATGGCTCCTTTCTTCTTCTTCAGCATCTGTGGGATCACTGCCTTTGTCATCCAAGTCAGTCCCTCCATGTTCACTTTAATCATCTGCTCCATCGTCTCCAACTCCCCCTCGTGAAAGAACCTAGGCTCACCGGAACCCACCGTGCCTGCGTTATTAACCAGCACGCCGACATCTAGACCTTCTGTCGCCTCCTCCATCCTCTTCATTATCTCCTCCCCACCGATGCTCCCCAGATCCATCTCCACCACCCTGGCATCCGCGTCAGGGTGTCTCTCTCTAATCTCCGTCCATGTGTCATGAAGTTTTCTGGGGTTTCGTCCGACCAGAACCAGATTGAGTCCTCTGGAGGCGAGTTCAAAAGTGAGGGCTTTACCGATTCCGTCGGTGCAGCCGGTGACGATGGCCCAAGAGCCGTAGTGTTTGAGGTTCTTGGGCGGCCTCAAGAACATGACCCACAGCCACCACAGGACATGGGTCGCGAGTTTGCAGAGAGAGATGAAGCCTAGGGTGCATGTTGCCACCACCATGAAATCAGCCCACGTGCTTGTGGCCATTCTCCAGAGCAAGCATGCTGCAGAAGCAAGTTTATTGTATCTTGAGATTCTCCATAATATATCATGCACTAGCAAGCTACTATAATTGCAAAGTTCGCTATTCCCTCTCAATTATTGTGACAAATAAAGTATATATTCAAAGTCACTTTCAGTGCTAATAGCAACAATCAGCATGGTGCTGATAATCAAATATTAATCATTCAAATCTAATATTGAAGGCCAATATTTAACATTTAGTATATTTTTTTCCAAAAAATATGTTTCTTTTAATAGATACATAATCCTAAATAAACGTAATTTCTTAATTGTAAATTTTTTATTTAAAAATTACTAGAAAATTTTAAATTTAGATCATTAAAACTGATTTTGAATAGTTTAGATTTTACTGCAGTTATTAACACCGAAACTGGTTTCATACCTCCATATTCAGCGAAAGCAATGCAACGACAACTATGATATAGCGCTTCACCACGGCCATAAGTTCCATATATATATATATATATATATATATATATATTTACCTAAAATAAAATTTACATAAATTATCAAAAAGTGTTTGAAAATAATTTATCAAGAAGACCCTCGTGTTGGCATCAAAATTTGAATCTATAAAATAGATCTTTACCAACTCTGAGTGAGCTCCACAATATATTGTCCCTTTTCAATTAGCCAGTATTAAGAAGCTGGCTTCTCTTTCTTTCTTTATTGTTTATTCCAGCGAAAAAGAATAATGTATACTACTGTTAGTTGAAGTTGAGTTTAAAAATTGCCAACACCACAGCCAATGGCGGATTCATGGGCGCAAGCGAAGGTTTTTTGTTCACATAATTTTTGCCCTCAATTTTTCCCTTCTAAATAGGCTTATTTCTTACCCCAAAAGAAAAAAAAAAAACTATATTACATTACCATGTAATGCATCTCCTGAATCCCGTGCAATGGTCTTCATTCACGTTCGTTCATTCACAGCAAAGGCAGAGAATATGATATTCCTCCTTCTGTGCGAAACTTCCCATTGCTCCCCCGTTTTAAATCCGGCAAGAGCAGATCACGCATGCCTCTTGCACTTCTCTTACTATTTGCTTCCAACTGAGTATGACGCTGACATGATACTCCGCTTAAACACATCTACAAAATAGCCTAAACTTTTCATCTTATTTTATAAGGGAATCTTGCCTCCATTATGAATTCGAAGCTTTAATTTCTTTGCATTAGCTTCTATACTAAACGACTTGAATCTGTTTACCCAGAAAAAGAGACAAAGAAAGGGTATGTTTTCGACTTATCTTGAATAACATGTTCCTGTTAAAACGAGCCGACAGTTGCGCCTTGCGCTTAATTCATCAGTCGTTAGTTTGCCAATGATCCCATACGATACCCTCTGATTATGGCATTACAACTCATTCGTGCATCACCAACACAATTCCGAACGTTAAATAATAAAATCTATGAGACAGAAACATTTCCATATGCATTTCATTTTCTACATGAAGTGACATGAAGAAAACGTTGGGTGCGAAAATCTCCAAGAAAATCCATCGTAGACATAGATTAGAACTATAAGAGAAGCATTGATAGATTAAATAACTATATTCAATTAATCCTTTTAATATATATTGAGATTGTGTTCGCCTCTTATGGCCAAGTATCATCATAAACTTTACCACAACAAAAACGCTTTAGGTACTATCTTACACGCTAGCTAAGAGCAAAGCCTTTCAAGAGCGAGGTTTTCATCGCCACCAACAGCTTCCAAAGCACTCCTCGCCTGAGCTTCAGGGAATCCCATCTCTGCGAGCTTCTTTACCTGTACCAGTGTAAAATGGAAAATTCATTTGTCTAAGCAACAAAAATGAACTTTGCTTATCCCCGGGGGGGGGGGGAGGAACTTTATGACATGCAGAGTGAATCTGATGCATTGATGAGATCAATTGTAATTTGTTACAAGCTCAACGATGTCAATCCATCCTCCAATGACATGAGATCAAATGCAAAAGCTCAGTACCTTTTCCTCAATCCCAAGAGATGATGCCTTGGCAAAAGCTTCGGTCCAGTACCGTGCAGTGCCAACAAATGTCTGGTAGTCTTTGAGATACTGCATTGTCCATGGAAATAAACTGATTCAGAATGACATAAGAGTATAAGGAAAAATATGCAAACATAAATTTGGCAGTGAAAATTAAGTATGGAATGCAAAATATTACTGCATTTAACCAACCGCGGACAGAGCATCATGCAATATATAAGAAACGTCATTAACAACACAGACCCTGAGCCACACCTGTTGTGCTACAACAGCATCTTGAGGATCATCAGGTTGAGGAGCAGAGAGAAGTGCTTGCACAGAAAGCAGCGCTGTTTTCAGTGTCAGTGCAGGGCTCCATTGATCTTTCAAGATGTCCAGACAAATAGCTCCACTCTGACTGCTGATATTAGGGTGCCTTCAACAGGTGACATAACACAGTATAGAATATAAGCATTATATGAACGAATATGCTTCGCCAGCAGCAGGGTATTAAATGCCATACATAATTAACTACTCTGTTTATAGGCGCTAAAAAATTGAAAAAGTTTCCATAATAAGTGGTCAGTCAATCATGACAACAAGTCTCCCTCTTCAGAAGCCAGAACATCTAATTCACTGTAACTTAATTAATGAAGCAAACTCCAAAAGCTCGACGTTCCAGCACCAAAACTTTATTGCCATTAAAAACACACAGTATTTGATTTATCTATTCTCAGTGCAATAACTTTTGGGCAGAAGATTTAGTTCAACCACACAGTGTATTGTGAAAGAACCATACTTATGTGATGAACCATGCTCAATCATAGCGACTAGATTGGAATGAAGACCACATAATATTAGTGGGTGGGGTAGGGGAAGATTCACCAGTCACATTATTCAAGTTTTCAAACAGGGTCAGCACATGATTCTAATCTGGCTGCTTTTGATCCATTTACAGTAACGTCAATAATCAATAACAGAAAAAGAGGAAGGGGCCGCGGGGAGATGGAATTCTAGCTTAAGGCTTGTTATCAACTAAGTAAGTTAACCATGACTAAATGACAAAACATTGGTCCTTGAAGATATATTTTCATGAAACTAACAGCATGTCAAACAACTACGCAAAGAGTTCTCCCTGATTAAATGATAAAACATTGGTCCTTGAAGATATATTTTCACGAAACTAACAGCATGTCAAACAACTAAGTGCAAAGAGTTCTCCGCATAACTATTCCAAACCTTCTTTCCTTCTTCCACATCCATAATCCAACATCAAAGCCCAGATAAATTTCAATGTCAAAAACAATGATTTTACAGGACTATATCGAACAACACAAACAAGGAAACCTAGCACACGCCTTATAATATCCCGCATATGAACGAAGCACAAAAAGGACAGAGGTCCATCAAAATTATCGCACCAGACTTTCGTCGCAAACTGCATTTTGGGAGGTTCGAAGGGATAGCCATCTGCAATCAAGGAAAAGGGCATAGCAAGTTAATAAAAACTTCCAAACTATTATCCTTCACATGCTATCCAAGAGAAGCAGATCAAGCAATAAGCCAATTAACCAAGCGTCGCCAAAGGGTAATCCCAGTAGGCACTACTAAAAACCCTACCCTCCAATCATATACAATTGACAACATGTCGAAATTCATAAACTAGAATGAACATACCGGGTATGGTAATGTCAATTTGGAAAATGCCCCCCTCGTAAGGAGTTCCGAGAGGGCCAGGAATGGTTCCGATCAAGCGAGCAAGGTTGTCGCCTTTGACGTTAACCTTGATGCCGGAGCCCTCAATATCCTTGCCGCATTCGACAAGCTCCTTCTGGACGCGAACAAAGTCGATCATCTTCAATCTGAGGGAGGAATCAGAAAAAGAGAAACCCTAGAGAGTGAGAAAGAGAAATAGGCTTGGGGGCGAGGATAGAAATCAAAAGAACACGATACATATATGTGAAGAACACGACACACCACCGCCTGCTTACTTCAACGGAGAGGAAGCAGAAAGAAGAGGAATAAAGTTTGCACCTTTTCACTTTCCTTTGTCTTCTCACTCTCTCGCGCTTTATATACTGTCACACCCCCACTGGCATTACCCGCATTAGTAAAGGCCAGTGAGAAGAGGAGAACGCGGATTCTTTATTTATATACGTCATCCACTAAATTTAGAAAGAAAAAAAAAATCTTTATGAGGCAGGCGTTAAATTCAGAAATGATACATCTTATGTGACCTAGATTCATCAATACGTATAAAGTAAAATTTAATTTCAATTTAGATCCTTCATTATCTTTAGTTACTGTTTATGACTGGCGCAAGTTTCCTTTTTTGGTGGGTTTTTTTTTTGGATAAATTCGTGCAGCCTTGCTCGGATCATAATCTAAACTAATGAAAGATTAGTTAGCAAAATAATAATAATGATGATGATGATCTCCGGATGGCACCGCACAGAAATATAGACACGTAATAGTACTACTTTTTGAAACATTATAATTATATTTTACAGATATGATTTTTTTTTTATATAAAAAGTGGAAAATATTGATTGTGCGATTGTGTCTTTTTAACGAATAATGGATATTAATACAATTTATGTTTTGATGAATGCACTTTAAAAAAAAAAAATTTGTGCACTTATATGGCAAACAGATAAACTATGAAAATATCTACTGTTAGGTTCATGAATTAAAATGAACTCATTGAAACGGGAGCGGATGACCTTTTTCTATTTTATATATAAACTTGTTCAGTTTTAAATGCAAGACTTATTTTATAATATAAATGATATCATAAAATGAGTTTTAAATTTAGTACTCTTTCAATTTTTAATATAAGACCTAATTGTTGGATTAATTTTAGTCCTGAATATAATACCTATTTATCATATTTATCGATTTTTTCTAAATTATTTCTATAGATATTCTCCTAATCATAATCGAATAGGAGTGGAGGGAGGATACTAGTAAAGATAATTATAGTGTTTTAGAAGAAACATGTGATTTTTTTTATAATTATCTAATTTATATAACTTTTTTAATTTAATCAAATTAATTAAATAGATCTTATATTAAAAACAAAAGAAGTGGAAGGGAAGTAAGAATTAAGATATGTTGATTGAGCCGATTCAAGTGCATTTCATTCACGTGGTCTTTGTACAAAACTACAAATATTGTTTTTTTGACCAGCTACAAAACTACAAATATTAAAAGCTATAATAGCAATTAAAAAATATCAAATTACCTTAACTTCTTAATATAAGAACTAATTTAATATTCGATTTAGTTCTAAATATAATATCACAATCAATTTTATTTCTCATATTTTATTAAAGTAATCTTGCAGTAATTGCACATGTTAAATATTTTATTAAATGATAGTTATAGCTAATATGTTTGATTAGTTATGATATTTTAGAAAAAATAACACATATTTAATTACAAATAACTAACTTAACATGATTTCTTAATCTATACAAATTAGTCAATGAGCTTTTATATTAAACACCGGATGTAATATTTGCTCTCCACAAATCAAAATGAATTTGAACCAATAACTAGATGTCTAGATGAATAGGTCTATAACCACACCAATAAAATAAAAATAGAATTAATATAATTTTTGGTTTTTTACGTCTATCTTTATTTTAGTTTTGGTTTCTGAAATTTCAAACCATATGTTTTGATTCATTAAGAGACAAAATGGTCCAAGTTTTAATTGAATTATAGGGAGCTAATATTTTAAATGAAAAAAATTTAAAAGACCAAAACTTACTATTTGAAATTTGAGAAACTAAAACTGAAATGAGAATACATTTGAGGAACAAAAATTGTATTAACTGATACAAATATTATCAGTAGTAAGAAAGCATGATCAAGTATTATGTCATCCCTTATTTTGAAAAAAAGTGCTTGAACTTTTTTCATGTTCATGTGAGAGAAAATTGCCCAAAAAAAAAAAAATCCAATGTATCCCACCCCATTAGTAATAATCCACCCGTCCCTTTTTATACGTAATATTAGATTATATCACATAAATCAAAAGGTTAGCTAAACATAATAAATAAGTAGAAATTAATTTTTTTTTTCAAAATACCCTTATTCATGAGGAAGAGAGAGTATAAGAAAGAGAATAATAAAATTATCATAATAAAGAGAGTTATAAAAGAAAGCAAATGTGGATGGAGAGAGATGATAGTTTAGAAAATGAGATAATAAATATATTGTATATTAAAATAAGTAATTAATGGAGGCAAAATAGAAAATTTGCTAAAAAAATTTAAGATAATTTGTAAATATTGCTTATATTCAGGAACAAGAAGAAGATAGTAGTTTTTGCTTATAAAAACAGACGAAGAGAGTATATATGTTACTTATAATTGTGATCTTAAACGTGAAAAGGGAAGTTATAGTGATGAAAATCAATAAATCTGGTATGCAGTCGATGCACCGTAGAAGGCCGGGAAGTGACTATGTGAGATAGTTTTTTCAAATGATAATAAATAAAGACTTTAGAAATTACTAAATCTCAAATTGGGATTTGTTATCAAATTTTATGAGATTTTAATAATACTTGACTTACAAATAACATTACGTTTTTGTAAAATACCTGGTTTGAAATTTTGTAATTTTCATTATTTTTGGGTCATTTTTTCTTTCTTTTTTTCAAGAAATTGAAGCCCACTACCCCTTGTGTGAGGAGCACAACATTTCAAGCTTAAAACTTAATATGGGCTAAAAGCCCAAGTCTGTTTTGGGCCCGACAAGCCCATGAGGCAAGGAAGCAGGATTGTTAATTTGTCATTCTGCTGTTTCATTGGAGGCTAATAAAGATAGCAGGAGCTTGCGAGGTGATGAAGATCGAAGAACACTGAAGTGATACGCATTTTCCTTCATTCATAGATGTTGCACAGAGACATGCATGGGACATGGACATAAATAAACAAAGAAAAGAAGAAGTAACCAGAACTGATTTGGTGTTGTTCAACTAGAAACCCGTATATCCACTTGTTTCTTCATGTTCCGATACATAACCGTTGGAGCTTGAACAAGACGACGATGCTGAAGCATGGAGGTTTTGGTTTTGCAGCATCATAAAATCAAAGAATGTTGGCTGACCTACCATGTCTTGCCTGTCGTTGTTATTATTATTATTCTGAACGTGACTCCTCGTCCTCCTCGTGTCACCACCACTTGTTTTCTTGAGGGATACTCGACACAGAACCCAGTCTCCGACCTCCTCGGACTTGGAAGAAGCAGAGACAAGACGATATTCGTGCATGATCCAATCAGTTTTAGAGCCGTTTGGGGAATTACCCTGGTAAAAAACAAGGGTTTTTCTTATACCAACGATGTCATTGTTTCTTAAAGAAGTTATTTTCTTGTCTGATCCTGTTGCCTTCCAATATCCAGAGGTGGTTGTTCGGTTCATGCGATTCCCATTTCGATATTTTGCTTCCTTTGGACTGAAAAAGTGCCTCTCTTCCTCATCAGAGTTACCTAATTCATCAAAACCCACATTAATTGACCTCCATCAGTTTTCATTAATTAGTAATAGTTCCTCCCCTTAATTACAAGCACAAGAATAATAATGCAACTTAAATTATCATATGCTTACCTCACTCACTTCGCTTTGATTTCTTAAAAACCTCTCGTCGCTAAAAGTTTGACCTCTTAAAATCATACTACTTCTGATTCTAAATATAAGAGCTAGTTGATGATTCTAAATGTAAGACTTCAATTTACTTTATTGCCTAAATTTATAATGTGTTCTAAAAAATATCTTTATTGATTGTAAATTATTTCCACCCAAATATAGTTTCAATATATATGATAGAATAAGGATAATTTAAGGAAGTCAACACACATTTGTTATAAATAACTAACTTAACTAATTTTCTTAATCTCCTCAAATTAGCTATTTAACTCTTATATTAAGGGCTGAAGGTAATATAAGCTAACTTTTTGAGGAATACTCTCTTTCTCTGCCCTATAAATAGAAATATAAGAAAATAGTAATCAAGTAACACCAGGGAGGGATTGAAGTTGAGTTCAAGATTAAAAAAGGAGTTCATTGAGTAGTTGAATAAGAAGAAATGAAGAGTCTCACCTGGCAAATCCCAAGGATCGAAGTTGCAGAGATTGAGGTCAGGAATAATGGAAGCAGGCAAGGGAAGGCAGAAGATCTTGCATTTCAAGTACTGAAACACAAGTTCTTGATCTGTCGGCTGGAACCGAAAACCAGGAGGCAATCTGCTCACTCCATTTCTAACAAAATTCATCTTTTCCATTATTATTGCTTAAAAAGAAACAAGGTCCCTATATGATGATCCACCGCGTCAGGCTGAGAGAGGCATATCAATGTTGATAACTCGCACGTATTTATAGACAAGCTTTAGGGAAAAAAAAGAAAGAAAAGATAGCCTTGCCTTTACTTCGCAATAATGGTTAAAGGCTATTAAATTTTAATGCTGCCCAATTAAATTAAACCAATTCTTTTCTTTTCGTTGTGCCTTCCCTTTTAATTATATATCGTCTTATGCCGGAGATCATCGATTCACAGTCAGCATTTCTGTATTTATATAGTTTCCTTTCTCAATTTTAATTTATTGTCTATTCATAATCTCATATCATTTGAAGTATCGTCTGAGATTCTATTGGCCTGCTGACAAGTATTTAATGAATCAAAACCTCATTAGCACCAACAACGTGCGTCTTTTAAAAGAAGTAATTTGCAATTTATGTGTTATATCTAGATAAATTAGATTCAAAGAATCCCCAATTCAGCGCACGTGGTAGCAAAAGTTAAGAAAAGCATATTCAAAGATTTCTCGAACTTTAAATCAAACTATAGTTTGAAGTATGCCCATATATATAGGTTTTGGAGTTTCCAGCATTCCTTTCGAAATTTGCTCTATGTTCTGACTTCAAATGGATACTAAACCTGACTGATAATTAAACTATTATATCTACTGGATAGAGAATAAAGCTGAAATATTCATGTCATTGCGTATGAGAAGAGAGAAAGATAAAAATTATGAGATACTTCTCAGTAGTCTCCCGTAGCTTAATCAAGAGGGAAATACGATTAAGTTTTCTTGGACGAAATATATAATTAAGTTTATATATTAAATCCAATAAGCTTTCTTTTTTTGGTTCGGCCTAACATAGCTACATTGGTTTGCCTGTGTATGAAATCTGTTTTGAAGAGTTCGAACTGATTTTGCAAAATGCATCTAGTAAATAACTATTTGGAGTTCAAATATAGTAATATATAACTATTTTGATCCACATAAAATTACAATCAGTATTTCCTATCAATGAGAATTTTTTAATCATATTTAACGTAAGCTTCCTTGGTTGATTCTGATTAATAATTTCAATGCCAAATTCTATTATTGTACGTTTTAGTGATTTTAAATAGAGAAAATTGTATCAAGGTCTCATCTAAGAAAATTAAATATAAAAAAATCCTTTAAAATCATCAAATTAATCTGAAGTCTTAATAGACCTCATTACAAGTAATTTCACTTGTTCAATTACTAAGTTGTTCTTATCTCTTTTTTTTTAGTATGCATTAACAACTAAGAGGGAAGTAATTAACAATTTAATATGCAAAGATTAACAATTATCCTGGTAGGTATTAACAACTGATGCACTAAGAAAATATGTTGTTAATATCTGCCACAATAGTTGTTAATCGCTACACTTTAAGTTATTAATGGTCAATGTGTGCTTAAAAAAAGAAAGAAAGAAAACTTAGTAATGGAACAAGTGAAACTTCTTACAATAAGATCATTTAAGACTGCTAATTGATTTGATGATTTCAATAAGCTGCTTTGTCTTTATGCCTTTTAGGTGGGACCTTAATGTAATTTTTCCTTTTAAATATCATCTCAAATTTTTTTCTTATTTTTGGGTACTAAATTAAGATACATCCATTGTAACTTACATACTAATCCATCGTATCATTAAAGTTAACGTTTACATTGACATCATTCGCGGTAGAAAGAGTAGTTAACGTTTCGTATGAAATTCAAACTAATCCGTAAAGTGACTTGTATTGTTACTTGAAACACTGACCACGATGTTTACATTAAAAAAGGTTTAATACAATACTATGTCCTTATATCATGCTTTTATTTTAGTTTTAGCCTCTATAATTTCAAATCATAAATTTTAAAATACTCTAACTTATTATTAAAATATAGAAACTAGCGATTTAGACAAAAAAAAACTTGAGAGACTAAAACTATGATTTCAAATTATAATAATCAAAATCAAAATAAGAACAAACTAGCTATAAGGATCAAATCTTGTATTAACCTTTTGAAAAATATCACATCTGATATTTAATATAAAAGCTAGTTTGATATTTAATTTGATTCTAAATATAAGACTACAATCCACTTTATCTCTCTTATTTATTTATTTTTTTAAAGTAGTTTTTGTAGTAACTGTATACATTAAATGTTTCATTTATAATTTTGGCTAATACACATAATTAGCAATGATATTTTAGAAAAAAATAACACTTATTTATTATAAATAACTAACTTAACTAATTTTTTAATATACTTAAATTAGTTAACTAGTTTTTATATTAAAAAATGGACGTAGTAATTTCTTTGACAAAGAGAATATATGTGACAATAACAAGAGAATATTTTTATCAATATATCGCATTAATCCATCCAAAGTCACATCAAATTCACTATAAATTAAAATTAATCAATTAAAAATTGAATCTAGTTATCAAAATGCTAATTAATCACAATCTTCAAACTTAAGATACACCTTTTTAAGGCAACACAATAAATTCGGAACCAAACTTTAACTAATGATCTTTTTATTTTCAGATAACAGACTTTGCTAATCTTATATGCTCCAATATTTAATTTTCATATTTAGTTGTTTTTTCCCCTGCAAGGAGAAGATGAAGATTCGCTTAAGATAATTGCATGCAAAAGCTATTCAATACTGTGACGTCCAACTGCATGAGAGACGAGTCAGCCTTTAGTATTATCATGTGGCTTTCCTAAAAAGTTTCCTCACACAACTATCCCATTACTTCTCATGTCTTTTCATTTGCCTTTTTTAGTTTATTCTAGATTTGCCATTTTAGTGGATTAGCATGTTGATGTGACTATATTGTAATCTGAAACTTTTTTCCCTCTTTTTTTAAAATCAGTTTCTTGAACACATAAGTGGATAGATGACTCATACGGTCGCAGCTTTAGGCCTGTACAGGGGCCTTTAATAATATTTTTTATTGTTATAGTTTACTTAATTAATTAAGTACAGTTTATTTGATATGGGTAGAGCTTTTTTATGGGAGAATTGCAATAAGATTTTAAAAATAGGATTTAATTACCTAAAGTTTATCAATAAGTAAAGAGTAAACAATAACAAGTTTTAGAATAAGGAATAATAATAGATCTTGTTATTAAATTTTTTTAGTAATTAATTTTGTGGGACTTCTTCGTAACTTTTTCTTTTTTCTTTATCCGGACAAAAAAAATTGGCGAAGTCAAAGTGCTTTAACTTTACTCGCCAAGTGTAACATCGATGGCAAGTACAGAGCATTCCACTATGGAAGGTACTTTAATTTCTTCTTTGGGAAAACTAATTTGTAGGTCCTTATAATTATACTCAATTTTGAATCAAGTCCCTAAACTTTCTTTCTTTTTTATTGGATCCTTTAAGTTTCTACCGTTAGATCCATTACTCCCTAAAACCTAAAACTGTTAATGAAAACTAACACTGTTAAAAGTTTCGTTGAAAGTCTAAATCTTCTTCTTCTTCAATCTCCTTTCATCGTAAGTCTGTAACCCCCAAGCTCTCTCTCTCCTTTTCTCCTTCCTTAATATCATCTCCTTCCCCCACCATTAAATCTGGTGGATGCTATCTAGAAATCATCCACAAGGCCTTTTAATCAAATATCCCAGAAAATATACCTAATTCACACCCAAGTCATTTTGGATGACACTGATTGAATCAATAAGATATATTGAGAAACCAATGCATGAACCAAATTATTCCTATGTTTCGGCGTAGAGTGCTACTTTGAGATCATATCCATATAAGAACTTTTAATCACTATAGCAGCCCAAGTCAAATTTTGTTTAGTTATTGACATCATCCTCAACAAATGAGAAAGAAATGCATATAACTCATCCATTTCTCCTTCCCAAAATGTCTCATCGGAGTGGAGCCTGCATTACTATATCTCTTCTTGCATTGGTGAAACGAGAAGCGGGCGTGATTGGCGGTAAGGTGGGGGAACTTTACGTGCTGTTACATTTTCCGAACCAATATCATCATAACAAGATCACGGCGGCTGTTGACTCTAGTGAGATCCTCCACTATCGCCGTCAGGAGGATCACCGGTCTAAGTCTCCAGAAATCCTCCAAACAGTCATTCTCTTCATTATCGATCATGGTTACCTCCATTGTAGAAGTAGAGTTGCTGCACCGGTCATGGAATCCCACATGGCCAGGCCCATATGTGAAGGCTTCTTGGTTGCGATGGGTACAATTGTTCAAGTAATAATAGCAGCTGTGTAGTCAAAAAAGTCGAGCTCTAATGGCATACATGTTGGAGATGGAACGGCGAGATGTATAATGGTGGGGAAGGAGAGAGAAAGCTTGGGGGTTATGGTGGAAGGAATTCGAAGAAGATGATGATTTAGACGGAACTTTCAACGGTGTTAATTTTAACTTGACAGTTTTAGGTTTAGGGAGTAACACATATGACGGTGGAAATTTAAAGGATCCAATAAAAAGAAAAAAAAAAACTCAGGGACTTGATTCAAAACTGAGTATAATTACAAGGACCTCCAAATTAGTTTTCCCTTCTTCTTTTTACTAAAGTCAAAATGTCAAATTATATTATTGTTCGCTTCAATTCAGCCATGTTTTCCGCTTGAAAACAATAATTCATTTCTTGTAAAAATTCACAAGATTTAACTAAAACAGTATATACTTATGCGTTGGCTCTTGACCAATCAAAACTGTCAACTCATTTAATTGTAGCGTAAATTAGAATAATTTTTCTGAGAGTTGATTAAATTATACATACATTATATTCTTTCTTAAAGCATCGTATAAACTCTCAACACTTGATGTGTGTGCAAAACATATTCATTTGAATTATTTTCCATATTGTATAGTTGTCTTTTGCTTAACATGAATTAAGATTATTTTGCATTGAAATTTAGCATCAATTCAATTATTTTTACTATTAAATTAAGTAAAACTACAGCAAAAAACCAAAGTTAAACTACTGAACTCTAATTTCAAATTAAATATCTTTGTTCCTTAAATGATAT